GCGCCGCGGGCCGTGCCCCCGGGAGCCCCTGCCGCCACCGCCGCCGCCGCCGCCGCTGCCCTCGGATCGAGCGGCGAAGGCGGCGCGGCCGGCGCTCGACGCATGAGCTTCGCTTCTGTTCGCCCTCCACCGCCCCCGAGTCGCCGCGCAGTAGAGGTGCTTGATTGCTTGAAGAAATCTAGTCATAGCGATCGATGAAAAAATATTTTGAAAAAAAAAGTACTTTTCTTCATTTACTTCCTCTCTGTATCGTTTTCTTCTTAATTTTCATTACTGATTCAGTGCGCCTCAATCGCTAGGGTTCAGTGCATGTTTCCCGAACGTTTAGTGCATTTTTTTTTTTAAATCGCGATAGGAGTCGGTAATCCTCATCCGCTCGCTGGCGAGATCCGGCGCCGACCTACATCGGTCTACGGGGATATTCCCCCACCACGTATCACCCACCCGTCTGGCACCGCCCAAACCGGGACGAGGTATAAGTTCCCCTCTGGTCTACCAACATGCGTGGTGGGGTATTGCGTGTGAGTGTAAGCGTGTATAAGTAAGGTGTAAGGAAAGGGAAAGGAAGAGGAAGGAAAGATAGCGCACGGTCCGTGGCCCGTTTGTTAGGGCACGGCTCCGGCGTAGAGAAAGGCTCTGGCATTCGCCTTGTGTTTGGAGAAATCACCGGTCGTAGCTACTGGTCATTAGAATTCTCCTCCAGCGGCTGAACACAGTTGATGACACGACATTGCAGAGAAATCAGTTGATGCCTTGAGTCGTAGAGTTGGGAATTTACTATCTTTCTTCCTCTATATCGGAGCCTCCTTTGCCTTTTTCTTCTTCTTGGTTTTGTTTCCTTCTTTATCTTTTACTTCTTTAGTTCCAGTCGGGAAATACATTGGTGTTTGTGAAAATTTCAACACCAAGGAGACATACTATGACAATGAAATTTATTCCACAGATGAGGAATATCAAAATATACGAGTGATTAGAATTACAGAAATGTACCTGCATTTTGGCTTGGAGTAGTACGGTCAGTAGCCGCAACGCGGCATGGATTTAAAGAGAGTGGAGGTATGCTACTGGGGAACGCACTGCCACGCGGTTTTTATACGTGACCACAAAGCGTCGAGAGTGGTCGCAGGAGGATCAGAACGAACAAGTTGCCTCCAGATCATATCCCAGACATGTCAGGCGAACATGGAGGCCAGGGAAGCAGCGATACCCGTCGTTCTTTGCAGAAAGCTTGCACACTACATGCGGTCGAGCATTGTCCTGTAGAAATATGGCATGTGGAGCTGCTTGCAGGAGGACCAGTACCTCAAGTTCTAAAACCTCCCTGACGTAGCGGTTGCTGTTCAGATTACCCTCAGTAGAGGCGCGATCGCACATTATAACCGATGGCGTCCCAAACCATCACACTTGGCGTTTGTCCGCTATGGCGAGGAATGTCTACATCAACGGCCTCTCTCAACCTGTAGCATCATAAGTCGGAATTATCTGTCTAGCAGACATTCATCTTTTCTTGATTCTCTTCGAAACACCCAGTTAGGTTTATTATCTTGTACCACCACGTGTCATTAAGATCACGTATTCTTGACCAGAGAAATGTGAAATAAATAACAACCTAACGTGTATTTTGTTCTCCCCTCTCTTCTGCTCCCCTCTTCATTTTCAGGCAGGGTCCTTGAGCCGCCGGCGCTCTCTAAAATGTTTCGCGGGAGCCGAAGCCTTTGGAAAACGGTTGGCGCGCACTTTGAACAGGGAGGCTGTAGGACCTGGAAACCTATTGTTGCCCTGAAGTGGCCCTCAGACGGCACTCTACGAGCGAGGGAAATACACTTCTGCAGGCAGTGATTGAAGCCGGCAAGAATATGTAAGGAAAGAGACCACCTATTTTGTTATAAAATTAACGTTTTGTGCTCCAAGCTTAACTCGTGTTACTCGTAATGTTTCTCACTTTGATTGTCAGGCTCTGAACGGCACATTATGTAGACCCGGTAGTATGTATATGTAAAAACAACATTTCTAAGTGTACATTAATTGATACACATAGATCCATTCGATTAAATCTCTTTGTATAAAATACAAAGCTTTTGAAGCATTTTCGCATACAAACAATACATTTATGTATTAAAATATCCATGAATTATCTTTTAATGACTGCTCACTTGTGTCACATACAGCTCAATACCTTCTATTCTTCTAGCGTCCCAATTATACGTGTACCGCACATCTTTTCGTATGGACATCACAGTAAAAAACACATTTTGAGTTTCAAAGATCCTCAAAACTGTTTTTATCATATATATTCAAATCTCCAACTCGAATTTTTGGGCCGAGTTCCATACTTTTCTATTTCTACTATGAACAGCTGTGGGAAAGTATTCATACAAATCTTATTGCCCTGCTAACTTTGTGCATTATTCCATACAAGTAAATAAAATCTTAGATGTACTGAATTTACTGTTCATATTTATTCACGCTTCAATGCAATGAATTTGGTAGAATACATGTTAATTTAGGTCGACCCTCCATGGGCTCTTGTTACTATTTAGAAAGTAGTTTTCAAAAATTAAAAAATAAAGTTTTGGATTCAATTGAAAAGAATTGTTTAGATGGAAAAAGCAAAAGTGTAGAGATGCATGCAAACATTTCCTCCTCTAAATCATTTTTTTCTTAGTTCTTGGAATCAGGTCATTTTACAGGAATATTTTGAAAACTGCCTAATGACGATGATGATTCTATTACACGGCAACGAAAATTTCGTAATTTCGTAAAACGTAGATGATGACAGGAAATCGTTCTGCCTGTCCGTCCGCCCGTCTGTGAACAACGCTAGCGGCTAAACTGTTCAGCCGATTTTCTCTAAAAATGATATCCCCCAATCGATCTGGCTGATGTCGCGGTCCCTTAAGTTTGAAATCGATATTTTAATTTTAAGGGGTACTTTACATGAAGCCCCTGAGATATGTTCCAAATTTTCAAAAAAATGCTCCATCTTTTTTATTAAATTTTGTTGTTCGATAGTGTGCGGACGTTTAAAAGAATGGTGCATGTCTCGTGTTCATTAAAAATTGTAATTTTTCGAAAATTGCAAACGAAATTTTTTTCGGAGTCTTCCTACAAC